GGTGTTTTGTTTTGCTTTGCCTTTTTTTTTTCTTCCCCCTTTTCATTTCGAGTCTCTATTTTTTTTCTTTTGTTATTACTACTTCTACTTGGGTTTTTTTTTTTAATTTTTTTTTTTTATTTATTTTTAGCGACAGCTTTCAAACCTACTTTGGGGTCTTAAAACGAAACCGTACACCATTTCACTGTGGACATTACACCCTCTTACAGATATGGGAGACATGGGAGACCCACCAAAAAGTAAGGCGGAATTTTTACCGTTGTTGGAATAAATGTGCTGTCTATTGTATTCGTCTCAGGCAGGCGAGCTGCTAAAGAGCTGAACTTCATTTGAATGGTAGAGAAGGTGCCTTTGTTGCCATGCCTGCATGCTTGCTGTGTTTTAACCTCGTACGTAGCCTTGTATGTTAATAGCCTGGGGTCCTGCTCTCTTTTAAAGTTTGGGGAGCAGACAGGATTTTAACGGGATCCAACTACGGAGCCTTAAATTCTCGTTCTAGACTACGGTGAGGCTCTCTGACTATGCAGCACCTAGTCTAGGGGAATTAGCATTAGACTTGCAAAAGAGAGCAAGTGACAACCGTAATGATGCTTGTTCTTGCTAGCAGCCTCGAGTCCCCTCTTCTGTGGCAAAGGGCTGAATGGGAAGCGCACCCAGGCACGCGTTCATCTTTTCCAGTCAGAGCCTCTTAAAAAATGAAATCAAACATATAGGTGCTCTCCCCGTAAGGCAAGGAATTCAAACAAGCAAACAATAAAATAAAAATAAAACAACGAGGGAGTTTGGAGTTCTGATTCCGTGCAAGGCTTGCGAAATGAGGAGCTTCACCCCAAAGACTGTTCACATCTGCATTTTAGCATATGTTCCGCCTCCTTTCTAAACGAGGCAAGGTTTTGATGGCACACTTCAATTACCATCCAAAAGTGTATTACTCTTAAAAAAAAAAAAAAAACAAACTAAAAAAAAAACAAACACCAAAAAACAACACCACTTCCAGAGTATGCCCTATAAGGGAACGACACTAAAAGTGTGTTTATCTCTGTAGGAGAGTAAACGGTTAGTCAATTATGTATTTCTTTTCATTTCAGAAAAATGCCTGATTTCCCTATGTGTTGGTTGCAACAATCAAATTCACGATCAGTATATTCTGAGGGTTTCTCCGGATTTCAAATGGCATGCGGCGTGTTTGAAGTGTGCAGAGTGTAATCAATATTTGGACAAGACCTGTACGTGCTTTGTTAGGGATGGCAAAACCAACTGTAAAAGAGATTATATCAGGTACGCCACTTACATTGTTTAATTCTTTGGTGAGATTTTTTTTAAACTTTATAAATGTGACAGAGGCAGGGAGAGGAACAATTGTATAAATATGACAGAGGCAGGAGGAAGAAAAAATTGTGAGAAAGAGGGTGAAAGACAATTAGTATGTTTTTCAGTGATTTCCTCTTAGATAGACGGGCGAGGAAAAAAGTTAGAGTCGTCAAGTTTTTTTATTCCACAGATTCAAATGCAAATTTCCGTATAAACAAAACCGCATTCGGGAACAGCTAGAGACTGTGTGGGACCCTCCTGAGGATTTTGGCAATGAATGCATCGCGTGATTCTAACAAAGTGAGAAATCGTAGGTAATGAAGAATATTTTCAGTAGTGTAGATATTATAAGCAATACGGAACTGATAGCTTTTTAACACAACCTGAGAAGCGCATCTCTCTGTGCTTTTGCAAAGTCATAATGGCATTCATAAGAAAGGCACTTCAAGCATGTATGCCGTAAAAAATGAATACACCGGGGGAGGAAAAAAAAAAAAAGCAAACTAACAACCCAAACAAAACCCAAAACTATTTAAACTAGGCCTATCGAAAAAAAAAAAAAAAAAAAAAAACCAAACCAAAAAAGCAAAAGAACTAAAACAAAACTGAGGTTCCTTTCAGAATGAAGGATCCTTTTATGAGGAGGTTAAAACCTAGACCGAAACGTTTCTTCGCTAAAATAACTGACATTTAATCTTTTTAAATATTAACCCCTTTGGTGATATCTGACTGCCTTTTCTTTCTTATCTTATCTGTACTGATGAATTAGACAGAGCAGATCAAATTGCCCATCATCTGTTCACGAACAATTGGGTATATTTAGATAATGGAACCGCTTCCTTCCTCACATTAAAATCTGGTAACTGATAAAATGTGAGAGTTGCCAATCCTGACACTACAGAGAAACCAAACCAGGAATTTCGAGTGTGTTTATTATTTGTGCTCCTGGGTCATGCTGATCCGATTCAGTGTCGTCTACTCGCTCTGCCAAACCAGAACTTTGTGTGACACTGAGGTACGGCCAGTATTTTTTTTACTCAAAGTTTTAGGAGCAAGTGCCTACCTAGCCACCTAAGATATCTTTGTAATTTTGCATTGAAATAAAGCACTTGAGTCTTTCCTTCTCCAGTGCACAATTCCTTCAAGCCATGTTATGAGATTATTCTCAAAGTTTTACCATGGCGAAAAACAGCCTACTCCTCCCCCCCCTCCTCCCCGTCTTTACTTTTAAATGCAGTGTGGAGTCGTGGCTTTAAATGTTGTCCTTTCACTAATTTCAAACGAAAGGAAAACGTTTGGACTGAGGTATGCTCAGTTACCTCCTGCTAGAACTCAGCGGTCGAAATTTAAACAACAACAAAATGCATCTCTTTTAGGTTAATACGGAATACATTTCATTTGCTAGAACTTTAAAAGTAATATGTACATTATGTACAAGTCGACTTTGAATTAGACCGTGAGCCAATCTATTATTGTCAGACATGTGGGCAACCCCCCACCCCCCCAACTTTTGTACCTATAAATGCATACACTTTGCGATCGCTCTGTTCCTTTGCCGTTTAGCTGCTTTTTTTTCGGATTGTTTCTTCTCAAAACCTTATGATTTGGAAACACGCAGCTCTGAATATAGGATTAATACTCCTCTATAGGAGCTAAAGATGTGTGCAAATAAACATCTCTACCCACAAGCATACATCACAGACTGTATCTCTAAGGAAGTGTACTGGTGAGGAAATGTGTGGGGATGAATATTAGCTCGGGTTTAGAAACAGCTTTTACAGTTCTGTGGACCGCGTGGGTGCATATGTGCATGTATCCGTACATTTGCGGGAGGATGTTAATTTTACTTAATACCGGAGAGGGTGGCTAAGGAGCGGGGACCCGCCAGACTGTGCAGTTTTAGACACCCGAGTTGGAGCCTTTTCTCACGTTCATCTACTGATGGATGAACTGTCCCTCTCTCTTCCACGGGAGACGAGGAACT